TACCATGCTCCAGGCTCCTTGTAAAACATATGATATTGGGTACGTCAACGGACCTCAATTACAGTATAATATTGACTTGGGGCACGTACTTCTAATCTACTTAAGATCTCTCTTTTGAACAGCTTCCCCGCGGGTGTTACCCTTCTCCTTCAATGGGTATTGTTCCGGCTTTTTGGGCGTCCAGGCATGGAACCGTTGTGTAGGATCTTGGCTCCTTCAGGGTTTAAGGTTCAAGGCCCTGGGTTTTTGATTTTATGGTTTCGGGCTCGGGGTTCAGGACCTGGGTCTCTGCCACCAACCCACAGTTTAATCAGAAATTTCAGCTACACTCAGGAAGTATCTACGAAAACTACACGGAGGCCCCGTTACTTATATACCTCATGAAAACTCTGGGCGCTCCGAAAAAAGGAGATCCCAAACTCTCGGAAATCTTAACTTACTGGTGCTTACTAGGGACCCTAAACCCCAAAGGACTATATAAGGCCTATATGAATATACCCATATTGCCTATAAGAACCGATAAATTGAACACTGGGATGGACAGCTGGCCTGGGTCGACCTGATTTTACATGCACGAATCAGATGGCAAAACCTGCTTGGTACCGGTGGTGAGTAGGGAAGGAAGGGAACATCAGGCTTGTAGGGTTTGTATAGTCCCTACTATGCGTACACCCAAAAATAGGAGGCCCCCAACTTTGGGAAAGTCCCCACATATGGACTACCTTGACCTTGACATGCCCAAAATCCCCTAAAAACTGCTGAAAGTCAATGCCTCCTACTTTGGGGGGCTCAGGTCTTATAGGGATCCCTTGCCTCCTAACCACCAGCAAGGCTGTACAAAAATGTGGCGCAGGATGCCCCTGCTCTCTGGCATTTTAGCTGTGAACTGCTTGGGGCCGCAGAGGATGACCTATAGATCACTATACCGTACCCCTTTATAGAATACCCAACTTTATGTTAAGTACCCTGTAAAGGGGTAGGGTATAGAGGTCGAGGTACTAGCAAGAAATGCTAGGAACCATAGGACTACAAGGGGCCTGATATGAGAAGCACCTGCTAAGATGCCGACACAAAACCTGAGGCTGTCAAAAAAGGCCAGTGCATTCGCACATCGCCGAGAGTGACCCTCTCAGAAATTCCTGGAAAACGTTGCCTGCGCGCTCCGCGCTCCCGATTCAGGGATCTGAGGCAACTAGGGGTGTCTGAGGCTGTGTGGAAGGCCAGGCATAGAGCACTATCGGGACTGATGAGAGGGTTGGTCCTACTGAAAACATCCTCCGTACAAAAGCTGCGGACATATGGATTTTTGGTAATTTGTCATAGCTTATGTTGACGGCCATGCTGGACGATTACGACTGCAGGGTTCTGCGGATTCTGCAAGGCAATAAGGCGTCTTGTCCACACACCCTAAAATGAGGCATGCAATTCTGGAGTCTATAGAGATCGTGAATTATGCCAGACTGCTCCTCTAGCACCTTCTCTTTGCCGTCCTCTGCAAGTTCTCACAGATAGCTCGACCGCAATTACGGCAAATCAAACAGGGCCAACGGACACAAAGCTCACTATTGCTGATCTTGGTTCAGTGCCTCACGACTAAAACCCTAAAACCCTAAACCCTAAACTGCTACAGGAGCAGGCCTCTACCGAACTCTGCGAGCTACGCAAAACATGGTGGCAGGGTACGACTTCCTTGTTCCAGGTAACCCCTGTACAAACCTTGAACTAGCTTTAGGGTTTAGGATTTAGGGCTTAAACACTAAACCACTAACCCTCCTCCTAAGGCTGGAGAGAACCCTAAGTAATTACCCATATCATGCTCCTAGATTCCTGGTACTTTCGTTTATAGCGTACCTCAGGCAGACCTGCAAATCATCTATGAAACTATTTAAGCCCCAGCCTGGGAGGCCCAAACCCTAGACCCATAAACCCGTACAATTGCCCTTAAATAGATAGAATATGGTTTTGCATGTGTATGTTATAACAAGATCCAATACCCCATATTCTATCTACTTAAGGGGGACTATAACCCCCTGAACCCTTAACCCGGACTCAACAATACTTGAAACTGTGGCACAAAACACCTAACAAAATCCAAAGCGACCACTGCTCTACACTACTTTGGGGGTTCAGGTGACCCGAATCTACAATTTTGGGACTTCGTCATCCCTGCCCCATAGTTCGCATCGCGTGGTCTAGCAAGGTCTCTGCCCTCTGCTGCAAGGAAGGCCCTTTCGCACCTCCAGCATTCAGGGCTCAGGGTTCGGGGTTTAGGGTTCCCTTTAATCGGGTTATAGGAATTTTATGGGGGTCCTACATTTAGCCTGGCTTCCTTTCAATGAAGTCATAGGGATTTTATAGGGGTTCTATATGGGCTTACCTTGGTTACCTCCAATGGGGTTATAGGGATTTTATAGGGGTTCTGTATGGGCTATATAGTTGTGATGTAAGGTTTGGGGCTTCAGCTAGCGTATGGAGAATCAAAAGGATAAGGAATGGAAACTGGGGTTATGCAGGGGGGTGTGCCTGATGTTAGTGCTGGGGAACAGTCTGGGTTGCTGTTTGCTAGATTGAATTACCAGTAACTGGGGTTCGGGTTTAGGGGCTATTGGGTTTAGCGTTTTAGGGTATTGGAGTATAAAAGCTGGAGCGCTGTGCGGGGGGGGGGGAGGGGTATGATACCACTAGTCATTCACGCCAATCTGAAACCCCTGGACCCCGAAGCCTACACCTGGGCTTTGAGCTCTGAGGGCTTAGGGTTACCTAAAACCCCTAACCCTGAAGGAACCTGACCTGGAAGCTCTGAAGAAGCCAAAGAATTTCTCAAAGCAACCTAAACCAAAGCCCCAACACTAAGCACTCAGAAACTTTGTTGTTCAGTATCTTCGGCTTTCCCAAGCTGAGCCTTTTTGTTTGTCTTGGTTTTGTACTAACCTAAAGAATTAAATCGGCCGACTGGACAGGCAAGGGAAGCAACGATGGAACTGAGCGAGCTGCTGCAGGTGCCTCTCAAATGACACCCTGGCCTAGCTTCCAAACATTGGGGCTTTCCAATAATTGAAGGGAGTTTGGTAACCAACCCTCGAAAATTAGGACCCCGTGGCTATCATATGATTGTTGTAGGGTCCTTATTTTGGGGGTGGGGTGAACGCTGACCCCCTGGGAGTTGAACGAAAGTACCCGGGCTTAGCGGAGTTCCTCTCAGTGACTACAAAGGAAGTGATTTCAATAGAAAACGTTCACGCCCGAATCCCGAAACCCCGGCTTATGCATCTAATCGGGGGAGTTTGGCTACCCCAACCCCACAATCATAGCCTTATCAGAGGGCTCCTACATGAGCTACAGTCAATATCACCCAGATAATAAATGGACATGGGTTCCTTACTGGGGACTACCAGGGACTGTACTAAACTAGAAGAGGGACCCTTAGAATTATTGACAGTAGCTTATATACTTTTTCTTTTCCCCGGATGAGTATCTTCAGCCTTGAACTAAGTTACCGTATGAACCATTGTTTACGATATGTCCATGTTTGTCTAAATTAAGCAAAACTCACCTGGTCCGTATTTAACCCTTGCAAAGCCCCAGTTTCCACATAATTTGCCATTTTCGCCTGGTTCTCCATTATATGTGAAGCCCTTATTTAAGCCCCGAACATATACCATGGTCACTGTATTTAAGTTCCTAAATATTTAACAGCAAATCAGTACCTCTAAACCCTAAACCAATACCCCGGCTGCTTCTCCCGAGGCGCTTGACCAGTCGCTTGGCGTCTCTGGCTTTTCCGCTGGCCTCAGTAAGGTCAAAACCATAGACTGCTATCCTGCTAGGGTTAAGGGTTTGCCGTTTGAGGTTCAAAGTTTAGGTTTTTAAGCTGACTTAGAGATCTTACTTTGGCCGTTTACGGTTTAGATCGGTCTAGGGCAACTCCAGTATCGTTGCAAACAAAAATCCACTAAAATCCTTTCGGGCTTTGCGCGGCTGAAACTGGGTTGTAAGTTTCAGTTAACTTTGAGCTAAGCCTTGTGAGAGAAGCAATAAAAATGGAGTAGCGGTTCTGTGTGTGATTGAACCATGCTATGTAAGTCCTCTTCCAAACTACTGCAACCAAATCGGAGAGCAACACCTTGCTCCATTTCGGGGGCTGGAGTCTCCCCCTTTAAAGTAGCTGCTCAAGTAGCATTAGATATACCCCTAAAGCCTGACTTCGACATCGTTTAGGGTTTAAGGTTTGCCTCTGTACTGAATATATGAGCCTGATCAGACAATGCTTGTTAAGACTATGCTTCGAAACTGCCACAGAGGAGTTTCGGGTTCAGGGCCCAAATTGGCGCTTGAGTCTTCAGGGGCGTGGGAGCATAGAGAAGACGGATCAAAGAAGACAAGAGAGAATGGTGCCTTCTATGGCATACTTCGGGGAACATGTGGGAGTTTCTCAACATCCCCTTTACATAATACCCTCAACCCTGATCACATATCCTAAGCCCTAAGTCACACAGCGGCCCCCGATTCTCCCCTTCTCATCCTTCGTAGCATCACTCAGGGTCCCCGAAGCTGACAAGAGACATATGGGGATTAACCAAAATTAGGGATACCATTCTGGGGGGTCCCTATAATAAGGACTATAATATATTTGGGTCTATATCGGGGTCCCCTTGTTTCGGGAAAATACCATATCCCCTTTTAGCCCAATACGCCTTAAATGAGGAACATACCGCGAGTGATACTTATTGGGACCCTTCGTATGATTCAGGGTAGTATGGTCGTTTCCATAAGTTAGGGGGGGCCAACAAAAAGACCCCACAATGCTCGAATCTTTGTTGTGGGGACCCAACAAGGTACCCGAAACTGTAGGAAACTCTAAGCCAACCCTATATAACCCCTATATAACCCCTGCATCTCCTTTTACAGTGCCCCTGTTTTTGGGAAACCTCATATTCCGCAAGTACGCAGTATTGGAGCCCCTGATTCCGTGCCAACGTCAATTCTCAGAGCCCAGCGGCTGGTCAGCACCTGCCCTGGGAATCGACAATTTGGGGGTTTAGGGTTCAAGGGTTTAGGCTTTCGGCTTTAGGGTCTAAGGCTTCGGCTTGGGGAATCTTAAGGTCCAGGGCTTGGGATTCAGGGTTCGGGTCTTGGGAGCGACAGCTTCAACTGGGGAGCACTGTCCTTCCTGTACCGACGCTTCTGTTGGTTGAGTTTGTCCTCCCGAAGACACATGAACTGGGACCTGATGCCTGCAGTATTCTTGGTTGCTGTTACGGGGCTTAAATGGTGGCGAATATGGGTACGTAGTAGACAATAGGCTTTCCTTAGGATAGTCACTTGGTTTCAGTTCCTTAACAGCAACCCAGGTATCTTAACCCTCCCCAGATGCGTATGGAATAAGACTAAGCCGAGCCCCCTCAAGTCCTGAACCCTCAACGATACACAGCCCTACAGGTACATACCCGCTGAAAAACGCCCAGTGAAAGGGCGTCGATGCTAGTTGTGGCAAAGTACTACTTTGAAGGGCCCAGGTAAGCAGACGATCGGGAGGGGCTCATGCACGCACATGTGCCTGAACCGTGAAAGTGCTGTGAGGGTCTAAAGCACGACAAATACATGCTTAGGATTATTCGAGGTTGCCTGTACCATGGATCTACATGACATTACACGACCACAATACTGGCAACTATTTCGACATACTCCGGCCCCTGTAGTATCCGCAACATGATCATAAGGACACGAATGAATGTGAGTGTTGGCACATCCTCGCAGTTGCTGACTGTAGCAATCGAGGACCTTGAAACTGCTCCATGGACATACAAACCCTGAACCGTAAACCCTGAACCCTAAACCCTTAACCCTCAAACCCTAACCCCTAAACCCTAAACCCTGAACCGTAAAACCTGAACCCTGAACCCTTAACCCCTCAAACCCCTCCCTTTCCCTCTCCGCCTGGGTTCGCGCTCCTCAGCAGGGCTCCGAAAGTGGGCTCGGAAGGCATCCCAATCCTTGGGTCATCTGATTCTAGGTTTATAGGGTTAACGTTTATTAGGGTTTAGGTTTTAGTGGTTAGGATTCAGGGCTTAGGGCTAACAAGTTTCTTGTTGAGATGCTGGTGGAAAACTTGGCTCATAGTCCCCATTGGGCTGTAGTATATGAAAACACACAGGCCGTTGTCAACATTGACCCAAATAAGAGGGAAGATCACAATGCAGCCATAAAGTACTTCTAAACTTGGAGGACATGGGTCGTAGAAGGTACGGTTTCATTGTGATCGAAGGTTTGGGGTTTGGGGTTTAGGATTTCTCAAATTAAAGCGGGGGGCCGTCCAGGGATAGATGAGAATTATAAAGGGATTCTCGGGTCCCTTTTCTAGGGATTATACAATGAGACCGCGGGTAGGCTTGTATAAGCTTATCATGAAGTATGTATATGGGTATGACGTATGAAGCCACCTCTTTGCCGACTTCCAAACGAAGAAAACCCGGTAGAACTGAAAGACCTTGAACCCTAAAACCCTAAACCCTAAGCACTAAGCCCTATAAACCCTATAGGCCCTAAACCCTAAACCCCAAGCCCTATGCCCTAAAACCTATATCATCTCACATATGCCCTCCCTTTAAGGAGTTTAGACTATAGCTCACTTGATCAACGGACAGAGGGATAAGGAGGGATGTGGGGACTTGAGCATAAACCTTCTCTGGCTGATGGTGCTTCGCTTTGAACTCTAGTAACTTGACAGGGACTACGTTGAGGTTTGGAGGGGTTCCGTAAACAGCATTGCTGACCTTTATTTAGGTGGTTTCTCCCAAGATCCAATTGCCAAAAGCAAGATACATGCGAGTTGCTCAAAAGCATGGCTCTGTCAGGGTGTTTTTTATTGGATTCGTCTGCCTCTACGTTCACAGGCAAGCCGATTCGGGCTCATACGGCTGATGCTTACATGTTCAAGCTGCTGTTCCTCATCAGACGTCCAGATGTCTTGCAGGATCAAGCTTGACTCCTTAAAGCCTCAACTCTTCGGCTCTGCACCCTCAAACCCTAAAACTTACACCCCACACCCCTTGGATTTCTACATTCCCAATACGGGGTTATTCGAAGGGTATAACTACGGTAGATAATACGTAGGGTGGTGCAAGATTTCCTCCATCCTCAGTCTCAAGTAGCACACGAAACGAATCAGAAGCGATTTGGGCATCATAGCTCCACTTGAAAGCTAGGCCAATGACACCATGTCCCCAACGAACCCTAGACCCTGAACCCTAAACTACTCTAAACCCCTAAACCCTGAACTTCGAACCCTAAACCCTAAACCCTGAACCCTGAACCCTAAACCCTGGACCCTACACCCTGAACCCTAAACCGTGAACCGCTGCCCCTCTTCTCGACTGAGGAGTTGGGATTCACAAAGTTTAGGGTGATAGTCAACTCATGGATGGATTGACTTCTAGGTTGCTCGGTGGCCCTCTTTAGGGTTGCGGGTTCCAGGTGTAGGGTGTAGGGTTCAAGGTGTAGTATTTCGGGCTCAAGGTTTAGGGCTCAGGGTTACAGGGTTGAGCGTTTTGGGTTAAGGGTCTAGTGCTTAAGGTTCAGAGCCTAGTGGTCCTGATGCTGAGCACCAAACTACTGTGGAGGAAAGCAAGCTTGTCTGTGGCAAGTACCCACTTGCAATGCCCTGCATTGCAAGGCTGTCCCACAAAACTTGCAATGGATAGCTTCGCACTACGACACGCCAGTTTCCTGATAACATCTCCAAAACCACACACACCCTACGCCCTAAACCCCAAACCCTGAACCCTAAACCGCCTGAGGCCAAGGGTCAAAACGAGCTCCTGGACTATCCCGGCCTCGGCCGACACGCAGGCCAAGCGGAGAAAACAAACGAACAAAAAAAAAGAAGCATGAGCTGCAGAGGGCGGCAGGCGTCGCATGGAGGCATGCCTAGAAAGGAGGCTAGGATATCCACTGTCCACATAGGGATTTGGGTAATAGGCTGTAAGGGATTAGGACTAGGGTCTTAGGATTAAGATTCAGGTTTTTGCAACGTCTCTTTCAGGGTTGAGGGTTTCCTGCAATCAGCTTTATTCCAAAGGCAGATCCAGGTATCATCCTCTAAAAATCTAGGAGCAACATCCGTTTAAGTTCCTATCTTGGTCACCTGAAGAAGGAGCAAATGCTCAACTGGGACAGACGCAGTGGATCCCGCGGTTTAGGGTTTAGGATTTAAGGTTTAGAGTTTAGGGTTCCCCGTATGTATCCACATAACTTGTTCCCTTCCTTGCAGCCCTGCATCCTGTTCTGCTATGGTAGAAGTTCCAAATTTCAGTCCCGATAGTTTCCCCCTTGAAGCCCGAAGCCCCGCTTCACTATAGCAGCAGCTTCCATTACCAATCCCTACTTGGACCTTGGATATCCTACCTACTAGCGGATATGCCCAACAGCGCAGGACAATACCCGAAAAAATGCAGGACATCCAGCATCCACCCTACACTCTAAGCCCCGACATCCCGATCTCTATAGCCTATAACCCTATAAACACTGATCCCTGAGCCCTGAACCCTATTCCCTACAATCAGTACGCATCAGTAGTTTTTGTGCGAGGTATGGGCCGAATCCTCTTGCTTCGAGACAGCACAGACATTAAGGTTACCGTTGAACCGGATATATAGTCCGGCTTAAAGGTGTAGGGCTATGTGAGGTTGTTATAAGGATATGTAGGGCTGGGGGCTGCCGAAATTTGAAGATCTGCTTGACTTGAAAATCCATGACAGTAAGGATCATGCATTTTGTTGGAAGGCGTCTAAGGGGGATACACCCTAAACCCTGAAGTCTAGACACACAACTGAAAACCCTACACCCCAATCAGGCCCCAACCGCAGAGGGCCACCATGTACTCCTGCAGCAGCAGTGCGTGTCGAGTGTGATCCGCATGCATGAGGGAAGCCAACTCCTCGAGAGAGGTTGGGGTTGGGGGTTTAGGGTTTGGGGTTTAGGGTTTAGAGTTTGGGATTTGAGCATTTGAGCTTAGGCTTCAAAATTTGGGCTTAAAGCTTTCGAGCTTAGCTTTAGGCGTTGACTTTTGACTTTCGGTGTTTAGGGTCTAGAGCTTAGGCTATAAGAATCCATGCCACTTGAATTTAGGGCTTTGGGTTTTGGGCCCGCATTTCTGGGCCGCATAGGTTAAGCACCCAAACACCAAACAGGCTGCATGCCTTGTGAGTTGTAGGGAACGAAGGAATCGGGAAAAGCTGCAAACTACTACTAGGAATCTGGAAATTTAACGCAAAACCCTAAACCGCTTAAGTCCCTTATTATGGATCCTGTCCTCCTCTTCCTGCTAGCAACCAGGGACCCCAAAAAGGATGCCTAATTGCTAGCTTCCATAAGGGGACCCCAAGATAGCCCACAACACTATAATCCTCATTAATTATTGGGCCCCCAGAATGGTGCCCCTAATTGTAGGAAATCCACAGTCTGCGGAGACTACCAAATGATGGCCCGCATGAAATTTGATTTCGGCGTTCATTCGTTCTTTCCTTTCCTACTGCGGAACAACCAGCAGGTCTAGCATCTGCATGGATGCGCAGACTGCGAGAAATTCAACAAAACTTGGCTCGCCATGGAAGAAAAACACGTAATTAGGCACCTACATTAGTACCAATGTCCTGGTACCAGATTCATCGCATGCCCTTGTAGAGTATTCGAAAAAAAGATCTCAAAAACACGCCAACATGACATTGGTCAATCAGGCCCCTGTTTTACTGCGAATGAGAAGGATCGTTCGAACTCGTGCCTCAACCACATGCCATCAACTCCTAAAACCCGAAGCCCGTAGCCCTACCTTCACCCTAGGCTTTTGTACTGCGTGTTTGTAGAAATCCCAAAATACAAGGACATCCAGGGCCCAGGCAAAACCCTGCCCTAAACCCGAAACCCTAGGCCCTAATCCCTAAACCCTAAGCTCTAAGCCCTGAACCCTAAGCGCTGACCCCTAACCCCAACACGACACCCATAGGTTGTCCTTCATGCCCAGGAGGCCGTCCCCATCAGAATCCTGAGCACTTCATAGGTAGGGAATAAGGGCACGTTATGTATTGATTATAAAAGGACCTATACCTTTATTCGCTACTAACCACCAGTAAGATTTAGGGGTTGAGTGCGTTGGTCAGCAGTTTTTTGGCTTTAGGGTTCGGGACCTAAACCGTGAACCCTAAACCCTGCAGGCTTCAGGCTTGCATGGCGCTTAGCGCTGTAGCAGACGAGAGAGTGGTTGAGAATCGGGGCTTGTGGGCTCAAAAACGCGCCGTGGCTTCAATTACCCCCACCCCCCATCGTTTTCCATCGCCCTACGTTCTGGACTGTTATTTACAGCGAAATCAGATACTAGCGA